CGACAAATCTTTTCTCAAATGTGTGAAACACAGTGTTTGTGAATATCAATTATTTTCTTGACAAGTATAAACAGATGTATAATGTTAGTGCAAAGTAGATACTAACATTGGGAGATTAATTAAGAGAGTAAGACTAAATGATCCACTATGATGATTTTTCTCTCTCTGCAAAGTTGAGATTTGAAAAATACTCAAGAGAAACTGATGGAGGCCCAAGAAAATCTCAGTCAGAATACTGCGAATGTGATAAATTTTCAAGCAAATAAGTTAACTCTTCAAAAGGAAAACAAAAAGTTGCATACCTAATGTGCAAGAAAAGAATTACATCGAGGCTTCTGGAAAGGGGTTCATCTGATGAACTATTGGATGAAAGTTGACTCCGAGGACACACCCCCCTGTTAGGCTCTCAATCACATTTGTATCAAGCACAAATATCCGACTTAATTATTTGAATACATTCTATTATTATTATTATTATAAGTTGTGGACTTAATATTTCTAAAGCCTCATAGAGGATGAACTGAGTCCAAATCTGAAACCATAATAAATAATTAGAATAAAGATTTTATAGGATGACAATGAGGATATGAGAGAGGTTGACATTGCATTTAAGCCTTATTGAGCATATGTTTTTTGCGTAATTAAACTTCTTCAAAATGAATGTAAGCCATGCATATACTGATTCTGATATGTCAGCAACATACTTACAGTCCAACTCGGCAACTGAAAATCATTCTTTCCAGACAAATGATCAAGTCTAATGATCCTTTTACTACGTTTAAAACAAAACAAATCCATCAGGATAAGATCATATCATAAGCTAAGAGCTAGCCTCATAGTAGAGATATATTTATAAAAATTTTGACCAAAGTTTTGGAGCTAGCCCCATTCCTATTAAACTATTATTTTCTTACATAAATTCAATTCGCATGTGGGGAAGGTCAGCCTCCTACCTATCCTATAAAAATATTGAGAGATTTACACATATTCTACACAATTCTTATGTATTTATATATCCAAATCCTTAAGTTTTATATTTATATTTTTAGTATTTTGGTGTAATATATTTATGCATGAAAAGATACATTTCACTTTAAAATTTTAACATTAAGCGATTATTTTGACATAATATTAAAAATTTAAATTTTATACTTATTAATATGAACATTTAAATGTTAGATATGTAAATATATAAAAATACTTTAGTTCTAAGATATATCCTGAGAGTAATTATGTGGAAACTTGTTTGAGTGTATAAGAAGTAATCTCTTGTAAAAGTACACATAAAGAAGATTAAGAAAATATGAACGTTATCTAAATGGTGAGAGGATTGATTTTTGAATGGCATAAAACTCTTAATATTTTATAATTTCTCTTCCTAATCTGTTTCTGATATAATTTTGATTGAATAAATAACTATTCCTTTTTTTTTGTTGTTGTTGTTGTTGATGGTAGTGTATAATATAGAACAAATATGACCAATTCCTCTAGCTTACTGATAGACTCTTCATGCACTTAGTTCCTCCATATTTCCAAAGAGTAAGCCATGGCTAGCTCCAAGTCCCTCAGAAGTAGCCTTCGTGAGAGTAGGTTTAAGGAGTTCAGTGGAAGATGGGAAATAGAAGACATTCAAGTTAATTTGGTCTGTTGGTTGAGGGATTAATATTTCAATTGAGTTTAAAAGTGTTTGTGATAAAATTCGTTTATATTTCTAAGGACAAAAGAAGAGAGGAGGAAGATGTTTTGAAATGAATAATGAGTTGAGTTGTGAGTGCTGTTTTTTTCTGAAAAGTGTTGTAGTTGAAAGAAATCAGATGATGACAGGGAAGGTCCTTTCATGATCTGCTTTCCTTCTGCCTTCCTTTGGCTTCCTATCTTTTAGTCCAAGTCTGCCATGTTTTATATCATATTATTGATGCGTGCTAGAAAATTCATGGGGAAGAGTCACAAAGTATCTCAAGTTATAACGTCGATGCGCGGAAGAACTTGTCAAAAAAAATGGGTGGAGATTGATGGTGATTGACGGCAACTATAAAGTTATTGGTGTGATTAATGTGGTCGCTGGTTTCTCAATGGTATACCTAGTGATTTAGGATTTAAATATTATAAATTTTAAAAATATATTTTATCAATCTAATCTCTTAATTTTCTACTCCTAATCACTACACACCAGGTATAAACGCAAGTGCATATATCACCTAAGTAATATAGAGCTTTCTTTTAGTCCTGAGCATCGAACCCACGGGAAAGTTTGTAAATTTGACGGACTTAAGAAAAAAAACTCTATTATAACTTAAGTAGACCTGGTTAGGAAATAGGATTGAAATTTTATATGCAACAAGTGAATTCTACCAAACTAATTCTTTCTCTAAATTCACTTAAAAAGCTAATTGTCATTAGGTCGAAGAAAGCAGAAGCGTTCAAGTTATGAAACTTCCCTCCCCTTGCAATGAAATGAGAAATCAATATAGGTGAAGATTAAAAACAGGTTCTAATAGATTTCGTGACAAATAGGAGTTGTATGAAAGTCGGTCATATAGGCTGTAGTGGTTGGCTGCAATAAATGATATGACGTTCGTAGGCCACATAAGATGAAGTTGGGAGTTGCACGAGGTGTGAACCACCAATATTGAAGTCGGTCATATAGGCTGTAGTGGTTGGCTGCAATAACTTTTGTAGATCGTAGATGTCAAAGTTGAGAGTTGCATAAGCCGTGAGCCACATAGTCCATAGTGGTAGGTTGTAAGAATAGAGCATTAGGAGTCTAGAAAAAGTCTAGAAAAAGTCACGATGTCTTGAGTACAACGGTTGTAAGCATTTATCGCAGGGTGAGTTGTAACACCAATTTCAGAATGCATCGTTGCACAACATGTTAGACACATCATTGCACTGTATCTGAGACATTGTTACACAATCTTTTGGATGCATCATTACAATTTCATATAGATGCATTGTTTCGAAGGATGTTTCGTTACTCCGCAGTCATATAGATGCATTGCAACATTTTATGTGGGATACTTGTTGCACCATCTTCGGGGCATTGTTTTACTATCTTTGAGGTGCATTGTTACACCATCTTCGGGATGCATTGTTTCGAAGGATGTTTCGTTACTCCGCAATGTTGGTCATTACTCTGAATCATGTTTTGCTACTCCACAACATACAATGTGAGTCCTTTCCTTAAGGGGTTTTGTTGCAACAAGCAAGGGACAACCGATGGTGGTCAACAACGATCAACGAACAATGGTCGATGGTAGTCGATGGTTGCTGGAGCGGCAAGCATTCGTCAGGTCTTCGATGGCGGAAATCACTAGAATTTAACTCCTCACAATCTAGCTCTAGCTTCAGCTTTTCCTTTAGTTCAAGTTCTAGGTTCCCTGTCAATAAGGGGATATGACTTTTTTTATAGAGTATGTGAGAAGTCTCCCCACAAATAAGGAAGGAATTTGTACCACTACATTGAACTACCTGGAGATATGCCCTCAATCAGATGACATTTGGTGCATATTTAAGCACTTTAACCATCTCAAAATAAGGTAATCTTGGACTCGTTGGATTTGTCTTATTGAAGCGCTCGATTTGACTATAGACTCGTCAAATTTAGAATTTATATGATCTTTCAATTAACAACTAAAAGCTTCCAAAAGTAGTTTAATACTTTGATCATTTGTTTGGTTTGAGTCGAACTGAACTAATTTTGGTGTCCTTGAATTCGTCTTATCGAGTCAATTTGTTTGATTTAAGTTCACAAAAATTGAAGATCTGAATTTTTAATTGAGGTTCAATATTCCTTACTAAAAAATTCATAAAACTATTGAGTCTAAAACTTAAAAAAGGCATGCTAATAATCTTCACGCACACACATGCATGACCACTCTACTCTCACGTATCACGATTCTTTATACACCATCATAATTTTCTGAACATAATTTTCATGCGTCAAAACTATTTTTTTTTAATAAGTTATGGCCGATAAAAAAGAAAATGAAATAAAAACGTTAATTTGATATATTTTCATGGGTCCCACATTGAAAAATTCACACATGCATAATTATCACCGCAAGATTTTCTGGGACTTCGAATCCACCTAATTTTGCTGCCATTTTCGTCTTTACTTGTTTTTTTTTTCTTTTTCTTTGAGTTTGTTTAGTCTTAATTTCTTTTCTTACATAAAATAAAGTTATATTTGGATGATTTCTTTTATTTCTCTATGCACGCTCAGAAAATAAATCAAAAATAAGTTTAAAAGCAGAAATAGAAATTAGAACACATATCTAAATACATTTAAATAAACATTTTAGCTTAAGAAATATAGCTGGCACTTTCAGAGTCTATTTTGAATAACTTTCAAGTTGTTTTGTTTTTCAGACCATCATTACAGTTCTGTTTGTGAACATTTTTTTTTTTAAATATTTGTAGTAAAAAACTTTTTCTTTCAACCTAATATGTAAAAATTACGGTCCGATTTTTTTAAATTAAAATAAATAAACAACACTTTCTTCAATAACGACTTGTCGGCTTCACAGTTGTTTCTTCAAAATACTACACTAACTTCAAACACACCCTCTCTGAGAGAAGTAATACTTAAAACTTTTATTCACACAGTTCTACTCATAAATTAATATATATATATATATATATATATATACTAGAACTATTCTTTGTCTTAAATTTCAGTCAGAAATTTGTAAATAATATATGACCACAGCTTATTATATACTATAACACTATCCCAACTATCCCCCCTACGTCATGAACTTAAGAGTCGTGCCCCCTCACAATTTGAGCTATATTATTTCTCCCCTGCCCACACGCATCCCATCATGGAATCAATTTCTTAAATAACTCACCATCTCTACTCATCATATTTAACACAAAATTAAATCTTTTTCCATTATTACTTTTTTTTTTTTTGAAAAGTTGACTGCTAACATGTAGATTTTATCAAATAGAAAAAATTACGATGTAGCACCACATGACCATCACAAACACACCCTTAATCACCCTCCTCATCCTCCAAACTCTTATATAAACATCAAACCTCCCTCAAATTAAGCCCACACAAAACTACTAATTTCTCAAGCAGCAAAAATGCCTTCTTTCTCTCTCGAACACTTGGACCTCTACTCAGCCCCTCACGTCCCTGACTCCCACACCTGGCCCTCCTCCTACCTCCACGACCACCCTGCCACCGCCGACAACGGCGGGAGCAAGTGCGACATATCCGAAGCCGCCGCCCCCTTGCTCGTCGGCACCGCCTGTCGGTCCTTCGGAGTCTTTTACGCTACCGGTCACGGCATCCCCATCGATATCCTTGATGAGGTCGAATATCAAGCCCGCCGGCTCTTCGCCCTCCCTCTCCATCAGAAGCTCGTCAAGGCTCGCCGGCCGGGCATCATCTCCGGCTACGGGAGACCGCCTCTCTCTGCCTTCTTCCCCAAACTCATGTGGTCTGAAGGCTTCACCATCGCCGGAAGCCACCGGGGAGATATCGCCGGCGATGAATGGATGCAGGAGCACTCTATTTTCTGGTATGATTGTGAAATGGATAGGGAGTGGTGCTTGAGTTGCGCATATGTGGCGTGATATAGTTGGTCCAATTATTTTGGAATGGACCAATAGGAATGCTTCTGTATAGTACTGGAGTCGCAGCGAGTGACCAATTGCAGATTATAGATATTAATATATAATAAATGAATCATAAGGTTTTAATCAGCTATTGTGGCGCTCGCGTTGCCATAACCCATTTTTAAAAATAAAATTAGAACTAATTACATACAGGCCACCCGAAACTTGCTATTTACAAATCAACCACCTCATCTTTTTTTCAAGTTCCCTCTCAAATATCAAAATTCTTAATAATTTGATCGTGACACCTATAAATATATTGGTTCGATAGTTGAAAAAATTACATCTTTGGGACTGTTTGTATTGTATGCAACTATCTCCTATGATGAATTTTCAGCACATTTTCAATATAAACAAATGAATATTATCAAATATAACCCTGGAGTTTAACATTATTCATTTTCAATATTTAGCATATTAATATTGTTGCGTTGCAGTGACGTGATGGAAAAATACAATAAGAAGATGAAGGAGGTGGCTGGGAAGCTACTGGGTCTCATGCTCCTCTCCTTAGGTATTGATGAAGAGCAAACGGGACGGGCCGGGCTTACAAAGGACTTAGCAAAAGCAATGGAGGTGCTCCAACTCAACTCCTATCCAGCCTGCCCCGAGCCCGATAAGACCATCGGCATGGCAGCTCATACAGACTCAGGCCTCCTCACTGTGCTCCATCAAAGTGGGGGAACCAACGGCCTCCAAATCCTCCGCAGAGCGGACGGGTTCGGGCCGACCCGATGGGTCACCTTACCACCTCTCAAAGGAGCTCTAGTTGTTCACGTTGGTGATCTCCTTCAAATCCTCTCTAACGATCAGTTCAAAAGCGTGAGGCATCGCGCAGTTGTTAGTCGGACTGAGCACCGCCTCTCTGCTGCTTATATCGTGGGCCCGCCCGACCACATGAAGATTGAGCCCATAAATAAATTAGTAGAATCGGGCCAAAACCCGATATACCGATCTGTAACATGGCCCGAGTATCTGGGCATCAGAGCTCAAATGTTCGACAAGGCCCTCGAGTTAGTAAAACTGAATGCAAAATGAATAAGTAGAATATTTACATACATACCATTGATCAATTCCTATTTATTTACATATCTGATGCCTAAACTTCAATTTCTTACTTACATGTGATGGGAAAGATTATTTTATATGTATATATATGTATTATTTTTTCACTATTGAAATATGAATTTGATTGTCTAATGCCTAATAAATAACTGATGAAATGCTTGTCCCATGTGATTATGTTATGCAACTATTGCACACATGCAGAAGTTATAATTGTTTTGGGTTTTTATGATTTTGAAGTGAGGCAATGCAAGGTGCCAAAGGATCCATCTCCGAAACTGCACACAAACGTTATTAAGAGATTCCATTTTGTTGAGAGAAAGGACAAATGATGGCATCCAGTTTATTTGTTTAATGGAATGATTGGATTAGTGCATTCATTGGTTTATGTCTTTAATTAAGATGTTTGGCATTTTTTGAAAGGTGGGTCGGCACTGATTACTCAAAAATTTAGTCAAATCTTTGAGTATATTTTATTTTAGGGAAATTTACTGACATACCGCCCACAAATCCTATGTTTTTACATAACTAACGCCCAAAGTTTAATATTTAAAGTTTGGTGTCATAAATCTATGCATAAGGTGTATATTAAAGATTTGGGTGATATGCATGTAAGTATGAAAATTTAGTAAATACATAAAATGTATGGGGTATTTTTGTAAATGCACGCCCTTTTATTTTATTTTGTTTACCTTTTCATATATATATATATATCTACTCATCATATTTAAC